TTTTTTTTATAAGATTACGCGACCTGTTACGTCGGCATCTGTTATTAACGCTGTATAGTGGCATTAAACCATTATAATTATCTATGAATTTTTTCGAATACATTTTATCGTTACAATTTTCAATTTTTTCTTTTTTTTCTTTTTTTTCTCCTTAAGAAAATTATCGAGCAACGTCCAATTTCCTAATTATCGAGTTTAATCGAGTATTAAAACATTATACGGTTTTCTTTTTCTTTTTTTTTTTTCTTTTGTTTTTTTCGTTTCTTTTTTTCTTTTTCTTTCTTTAGAAATTCGTATTAACATTTCGTCGACGTAAAAACTCGTATATACATTCTTGCATCGCCGTTCTTATAAAAAAAAAACAAAAAAAAAGGTTTAATCAAAGATTTAATTCCGTAATTAACGAGTTCGATAAAGTATTCAAAAATTATACGGTTTTTATACAAATTCATCTTAATATTTCGTCGGCGAAACAATTTTCCATTACATCCATGTAACACAGTTCTTATATATATATATATATATATATAAAAATAAAGAACTTACCGAAGACTTAATTCCGCAATTATCGAGTTCAATCGAGTATGAAAACAAAAATTATACGGCTCTTTGCAAATTCGTTTTAATATTTTGTCGTAACAATTTGTAACCATCCTTGTATCTCCGTTATTATGTACGAAAGAAAAAAAAAACAGAAGAAAAGAGAAAGAAGAAAAAAAGAAAGAAGAAAGAAAGAGAGAAAGAAAGAAAGAGAGAAAGAAAGAAAGAAAGAAAGAAAGAAAAAGAAGAAAAAATGTACCAAAGATTTAATTTCGTAATTATCGACGATCGATTCGAACAAAACGCAAACCACATTTTTTTCAATTGCGGTTTTCGCGGTGCGTCTCGCTCGAATGCTTCTCAAACATCGAACGAGTGTTCAAGAGAATCCCTTAAAAAAAAAAATAAATAATAATAATAATAACAATAAAATCAATAACAACAACAACAATAATAATAATAATAATAATAATAATAATAATAATAATAATAATAATAATAATAATAATAATAATAATAATAATAATAATAATAATAATAATAATAATAATAATAATAATAATAATAATAATAATAATAATAATAATAATAATAATAATAATAATAATAATAATAATAATAATAATAATAATAATAATAATAATAATAATAATAATAATAATAATAATAATAACAATAATAGTGATAATAGAAATAAAAAAAAAAACCTTTCTCTAAGAAGACTATTTAAATCCTTAAAAGAATAATGACGATCGTAAATAAAATTAAATAGCGATTAATAAAACGATACAATTAAATCTTGTCACTTGGTTTCACACGATGATCATATATATTTTTTTTTTTATGAGTAACTCTCACTTCACTTGTTGTTTCTTTTATTCCTTGATTAACCAAATACATTAATACATATGCATATACATATACATACATACATACATATATATATATATATATATATATATCATCTATTTAACAAGAGTATCGTCGATAAACTCGAGTACAATGGCACACGCCTGTTCGTTCTAAGTACTTCGTTGCTTGACAAGTCCTGACGTTTGTGCGATGATGTTGCCAGAATCTCTTGCGTATAATGGACACACGCGTATTCAAGCTCACAAATACACGTACACACGTACACATACACACACACACACATGTATATATATATATATATACATATATATATACATTATATATATATATATATACATATAAATACAGAGAAGCACATAATAGCATTGATATACCTTACGTATGATACACGTGTTCGTTCGAACAAATCAGCGATCTTGTGTTTCTCCTCGAGCCATAAATCACGATTAGACGTTTACAGTCCGATCGATGCTAATTCGGTGGATCCGTAACATACTCGAGAAAGAGAAAGAGAAAAAGAGAGAGAGAGAGAGAGAGAAAGATAGAGATAGAAATAAAGAAAAAGAGAGAGAGAGAGAGAGAGAAAGAATTTCTCTCGAGCGAGAAATTAATGGCGTACTTAATTGGATTTAAATAATTAATCTTGAATGCGTAAAAAGAGAGAGAGAGAGAGAGAGAGAGAGATATACACTTATATATACAGATAAATATATGAATGTCAAAAGAAAAACGATTTCCGGAAGGAGCCTTACGGGCACGCACTATAATGTAAACGTACTAATGGTAACTCCCAACAAGGATGATAATCGTTAAATAGGTATCATTAATACGTCGTTAGGTAAGACGATGGATCTTTTTATTTTATTTTATTTTCTTTTTTGTTATTTTTCATTCTAACTATTGAGGCCAATGAACTTTTATTTTTACGTTAGTTTCAATAGACGAATTTTTTTTTATATACATTTCTCTCTCTCTCTCTCTCTCTCTCTCTCTCTCTCTCTCTCTCTCCCTCTCTCTCTCCGTGTTTCTATCTTTCAGAATGAAAAAACATTTACATTCTCGTCATAATTACTTAATTCTGAAAAACTCTATATATTATACCTTACCAGCTGAGAAACGTTATCAAGATTCCTTTCTACGTAATAAATAAGTAATATTTCCTTTCGGAAGAGAAAACCTGGAGACCGTAAAAGCGTGAATCATCAAACGTGTTTCAAGTTTTAACGTGAATGAAACGAAATGAAATAAAATTAAATTGCTTTTCTCTCTCTCTCTCTCTCTCTCTCTCTCTCTCTCTCTCTCTTTGTCTCACTTATACTCATTCACTCACCCACTCTCTTTCCCTTTAACACTTAACGTAGAAATTATTTAAGTACCAAAATAGATGTAATTGATATCAAATCGAAGTGAAAAATTTCAACAGTTAAAGAAATTCTTATTTCTAGATAGAAGATGAAAGAGAGAAGAAGAAGAAGAAGAAGAAGAAAAGAACAAAAAATATAAAAGAAAAGAAATATATATATATATATATATATGTATGTATACAAATCTATCTACGTAGATATAATTCGTGTCAAATTGAAGTGAAAAATTTCGACAATTAATCAAACTCATATATTTCAGATGAAAAGTGACAGAGAAAGAACAAAAAAAAAAAAAGAAAAAAAAAAAAAAGAAAATTTTTATCTGTCTTTTCAATTTGATCGAAGCTTCATGCTCGTTGAAATGTTTCGTGGATGAATCTCTCTCTCTCTCTCTCTCTCTCTCTCTCTCTCTATCTCTCTCTCTATCTATCTATCTATCTCTATCTCTACGCTTCTATGAAATAACTTTTATTTCAAATTACATCTAAAATCTCTTGAAAATCTATGAGAATTAATGAAGAATTTGTCTTTCGTTACGAATCAAAGGATACATTCGTCTGATTATCAATTAGAAATAATGATGCTATTGATATAAATATAATTATTAATAGTCTTTACGATTAATTACTCGATGGAATATAGTCGACGAAACGAGGTAAATCAATCCCGTCAGAAACAACCTATATTTATAAAAATGCGCATAAGTAGACACACACTCATGTAATTACGTACGTACGTACGTACGCACACGCACACGCACATACACACACACACATACATACGGATACCAAAAGACATAGAAATACATAGACTATTATTTTTCTCGTCGTTGAACACGCTAAAGTAGTCCTACACCTTCCTCCTACTTACGTACGTAAAACCTACATACATACATACATACATATATACATAGATATGTAAAAAACCTATTTTTACGATGATATCGATGAACTTGGCACGGACTATGACGAGAGTTACACGCTATTATAGTGATTAAATTTAATCGTTTTAACGGACTCTATTTGCTTATGTAGATACATACGTTGTTATAATAATAGATTAGTGTGAGCGCACGTACATCCACCTTAGATTATATATTTATGATTAATACTTATGCGCGCGGGTGTACGTGAGTTTGCCTCTCTCTCTCTCTCTCTCTCTGTCTACGAAGAGATTAGGTATAATGCATACATACGATTTAAGAGTTAAAACGGTGCAATTATTTTAACGTTCAACCAACCACGATAATCCTTATAACTCGGCGAGTAATTGAAGATCGATCCTATCTTCCAAACACCGACAAGGAGAAACGCTAATAATAATCCCATAGAACAGAGACCTGTCGTGTGAGTTCCTGTCGTTAGGTAAAGAAAGACTATAAGAGAAAAACAGAGAAAGACAGAGAGAGAAAGAGAGAGAGAGAGAGAGAGAGAGAGAGGTTGAACCTTTCTGAGAGTTCACACACTAAGAGAAGAAATTTTCGCGAGTACGAGCGAAGCTACTAACGAACGTTTAACACTTTAACCGATTGTTCAACCGACAATACGAAACGTATAGATCGGAGGAGCGCGACGCGAAGAAACGTTTCTGCTATTCATCAAGTTGCCACTCTGAGTCAAGTCGAGTCGAGTTGAGTCGAGCCGAGTCGAGTCGAGTCGAGTCGAGTCGAGTAGTCAAAGTAATTACACGTTTTCTCGTGTCACTCGTAAAGACCATCCATCCTCGCGAAATTACAGCCACGCGATGTAATAGGCTTAGGTGTATGTACATATATGTAAGTACGTATATGTATGTACGTATATATGTATATATATATATATATATATATATATATATGTGTCTATGTATATGCGTATATGGATGTGTATATATAACTTGGTAGCCCAAACGAGTCGGTTGAGTTTATTAAAGAGTTATAGAAAGAGAGAGAGAGAGAGAGAGAGAGAGAAGTGTGGGGGACGAGATAAAAAAAAAAAGAAAAAAAAGAAAAAACAAGAAATGGAACAGGAAGAATCTGGCGAAGATAACGATCGGATCGACTAACGATCGGTCGATCGCAAAATATCTCCTTAACAAATTAGAAAACTTGGCCCCTTTTAACCGACGATAAATACGATATGATAAAAATATCTTTAACGTTATCTTTTCGAATTGGATTTGATATGTTTTGTCGATATAAGGTAATGGATATAAACGGGGATTATATCGTGTAATTAAACTTACCGGAGGATGGCCTGTCGGAATATCTCGTGCAATAGACCCAGGCTGGCCAAAGCATTTGTTTTCCCGGCTCGGAGGATGGTGGTCCAGGTGCATTGGAAGTTTGATTGCTCGTAGGGACAACTGCGGGAACACCGCCGGTCGGCGATGCCGCGTTCGTCGTAACTGTTTCCAAGTTACTCCTTTCGGATCCTTCGGAAGACGATTCCAAAAAGTCTTTCGTGAGATCTATCGGCCTCGACGATGTTTTCTTAGGTCTTGATTTCTTCAATGAAATCGGATCGGTTATCCTCCTACCAAAGTCCGCTTTCAATATGTTGTCTATACTAAACTTAAGACCCGCCTGATGCTGGAGATTGTTGTTATTGTTGTTGTTGTTGTTGTTGTTATTGTTGTTATTGTGATTATTGTGGTGATTACCGTTCGCGTTGTTTTGAACCCCGTTCGTGGTTGCCACGGTACGACCGTTTTCCTCGGGTCTCACACTGGCCGTCGGCGATGAGGACTCGTCTCTTTGGAGTATTTTATTTACCGAGAGTCGATGATGCTGATGCTGATGAACCGACGCGTTTGCCGGCACGTGTTGTACCTGAGAGGTTTGATGCAAGTGACCGTGAGCGCTAGCGTGATGAAGATGCTGGCTAGGATGGGGCATCAGCGAGGTGGTTTCTCGAGGATCTCTACACGCGCTCGGATGAAGGATCGGCGTGGTTGCTTGAAGTCCGGATACGGTCATGGCCGACGGTGGTGACAACGATAGCCTGGTTACCAGAGGAACGCTTATCGGTGTACGGTGTAGTCTCTCTACGCTTGGATAAACTATCTCGTGAGTTAATCCATGCTGAACGCGAGTCGGATAATCCGAAATCTCGGTTTCTCTGGAGGCATATCGAGGTAGGAGGTGTTGGTGACCTCCCGTTACCTGATACCTAGGGAGTATCGGTTCCTGTCCAGAAGTTTCAGGTCGACCAGGAGACGAGGCCGTTGCCGAAGAAGATGCCGGTGACCTGACCGAGGAAGCCGTCGGCGATGACGGCGGTTGACTGTAGGCCAGAGGACTCGGCGCAGAAACATGTGCACCACCACCGCTCGATGTTCGATGATAATAACTGTCGTTGCAGCTGGTCGAGCTGGAAGGCGATGGGGTCGCCGATATCCTCGTATTTTCTTCCTCTCGAAATTCACCACGACTACTCGCTGATTCTTGATCGCCGTACTTCGTTCCACCGCAAACTCTGACACCAACGACGCTCGCCGGTGTTGGCTCGCTGCCGACGCTGAGCACCTCGCTGGTATCGCTCTCGCAATCGCTCTCCCCGTTCTCGCATCTCTCCTGATCGCGTTTCTCCGACTCCTCCGTCTCTTGATCGAGACGCGATTGATTCTGCCTCATCTCTCGAACATCCGTTGTCTCCGTCAAAATAGACGAGGATTCGGCGCTCGTGTTGGACATCTTTCGAAGGAGTGATCCTTTGATTAAATCGATCGAATCGTTGGACTCACTTCGATCGAATGCTTCGTCAACATCCCTGCTCGTCCATCGGAGCCGCTCTCGCTGAGTCGATATCGTTCATTTGTACCTTGTTAAACGCATCGTTCTTTCCTACAGATTATTTACGACGTCTTGTCGTCACTGAAGCACCACCGATCATCCGTCACGCGTTACGTCTAGGAACATCATCGATCGAAACTTTACGTTGATAAAGCGTTGATCACCAATCGGCTAAATTTTATATCACTATTCTTTCCTCTAACTCGATTTATGGTCTATCTCAGGCGTAAAACGCTACCTTCGACCTTTCCCATTCCGACGGGCAGCCTCGTATTCGCCTCGTGCACGCTCGAATATCCCTGTCCATCTCTTCTTACCTTTCCCCGCTTCAGAAAAGGTTCCTTGGTTTTGTGATCGATCGATGCAACATAACCCTGTGGCCTGTTCTCGAACATTAGCCGAAACGTTAAGAGATCTCACTTCGAGTTCAAATCACCAAGGGTACAGGTCAACGATAAACGGAAGAAACTTTTTTCACGATTTGGGTGTTGCACGTCGAAGTAGCAACGCGCACACACTGTTTCCTTCGAACTAACGCACGGTTTCTTCTCTCACGGTTACTCGACGCGACTAGTAGTACCACGCACTCTACTCTTGGTCCGAAGGGAAAGCGAACGGTTAGGACGACACCATCGAAGTAACGGCCGGGCAGTTAGTGAATCGTCGATGAACAACGACGAGAATGCACGCGATGTTGACGACGACGACGACGACGACGACGACGACGACGACGACGACGACGACAACGATGACGACGACGACGACGACGACGACGACGACGACGACGACGACGACGACGACGACGACGACGACGACGACGACGACGACGACGACGACGACGACGAGGACAAGGACGAGGAGGACGATGATGACGATGACAGAGCAAAGTGAAGATAAAGAGGAGAGAGAGAGAGAGAGAAAGAGAGAAGGAGAGAGAGAGAGAGAGAAAGAGAAAGAGAGAGAGAGAGAGAGAGAGAAAGAGAGAGAGAGAGAGAGAGAGAGACGGTAGACAACTCTACCGTAGAAGCTCCTGGGTAGACGCTGCTTTCGACGGAGCCGTTGTGCGGCGCCGTCAATCCGGGCTGTGCCGCTTGTGTCCAGTTGGTTGCCGCGACGCGTCTGTGGCGAGGAAACGGCGGGTGGGTCGACGGTGGGCGTTACCGGGCGTGGCTTTAGTTAGGCCACGCCCAAACAGACGCAACCCACCCGTTCGCGTGCTCGCTCGCCCGACACCTGCCGGACGATCGACGAAACGTCGTCCTAACCACGCTCACCATTTACCCCACCACTACTTCCAATCGCACGCTTATTGGTCGACGCGGCCCATATGCCCCGCCCTTCCTCGCACCCCGCAAATACCACCCTTCACCATTCCAACACACGAACTTTAACTCTCTCTCTTTCTCTCTCTCTCTCTATCTATCTATCTATCTTTCTTTCTTTCCATCTCTCTTTCTCTCTTGTCTTTCCCTTTCCACCACCGAGCCACTATTTTTCTCTTACTTCTCTCTTTTGATATCTTCCTCTTTTTCTTCGTACATCTCTTCTTTCTTTCTTCCTTTCTTCCTTCCTTCCTTCTGTCTCTCCCCACCAACAGGAATACTACCAGGGAACATGCTGTTTGCCTTTCTTCGTCTCACCTTCCTCCACCTCCTTCTCATTCGCCCCCTCCATCACTCTCTTCTTCTCCTTCTCCTTCTACTTCTCCCCTTCTTCTATCGCCTCTCGCGTTATTATGTGTCTCTCATCCGACAGACGTTCCACTTGGACGTCATCGACTTTTCGTCATTTTTACTATCCTATACGTACTTGTTATGCCTTGTGCTATCTTTTTCTTCTCTCATTAATCCTAACTCTTAACTCTCTCTCTCTCTCTCTCTCTCTCTCTCTCTTTTCCTTTTCCTTCCTGCTTCTTCAACCCCTTTCTCTCGTTAAGATAATCTTGAAAGGAGGAAAAACGAAAGGAAGAGAAAAAATAAAATAAAACTCATAGCACCGTATCGTTAAAAATTCACTACTTTCGGAAACTAAAGATCAATATCTAAGATGGTCGTTTCTCGTTCGACGATGTCTCGTAATTCTCGGCAATGAGAACGACGAGGATTACGTCGATGAAGGAAGAAAATCACGAAGGGTGCCGCTTTATTAACATTTGTAGGATAAAGATCGCGCAAGTTCGCATACATAGGTAAGTAGTTATGTATCTACCTATCTACCTACCTACCTACCTACCTACCTACCTTTACCAATATCGATTTCGTTCCTTTCTACCTTTCTCAGTAGCGTGCACGCACGCTCTGAATCACGTATTTATTTTTCCCTCGATTCGTGAGGAGTGCTTCGAGCGCTTCGACGCACCTTCTCTCTCTCTCCCTCTCTCTCTCTCTCTCTCTCTCTCTCTCTCTCTCTCTCTCTCTCTCTCTCTTTGCTTTTTTCTCCCGAGGCGATCGTTAAGGCTCATTATGGGTCGATCTTGAAGCCGATACGGGACTGAACGAGTAAAAAATGTCAGCTCGTAAATTGTCGGTCAGGTGGACTCGCGACCGCGTCATAATCCTCCGATGGAGGTCCTGTCTCTCCTCCCCCTCCCCTCCCCCTTTACCTCCTCTTCTTTCCCTTCTTCGTATTCTTTTTTTTTTTCTCTTTTTGCTTTATCGAAGACACATCGTAAATGGAAAAATGGTGGACTCTGTGCAATTCCTCGTGAGAAGAACATTTTTGAAAATAACTCATTAAGTCGAATTCGTCCGTCCAGTACTTGCATCTTTTTTCTTTTCTTTTCCCCTTCTTCGTTTCCATTTTCGTTACTTCTTTTTATTTCTTTTTCAGTTTTTTTTTTCTTCTTTTCTTTTCTTTCTTTCTTTCTTGTTTTTTTTTCCATTTTTGTTTTTCAATCTTTGCAAACACCCATAAATATTCATTTATCCAAGTTACAACGCTTTAAAGGATTCCATGAGGAATAACTTTACATAGGATACAAAATCATCAATGACATTAATAAATTCATAATTTCAAAAATTTGCAAAGTCATTTATTTACTTGTCCATTTATTTATATCAGAAATTAATTGAATGTTATGCTCACGTCGAATAGAAAATTTACGATAGTAAACGACTATCTCTCGATTCGAGTAAATTTGTCAATAACAAATTTGTAAAATTATTTATTTAGCTTTTTTCTTTTATTTATTTATTTATTTTTTTTCTTTCTTTTTTCATTCTCCTTTCGTTGGTTTTATTTTAATAAATTAAATCGATTCTGACGTGACGAATAATTTACTTAATCTTTCTTTTTTTTTTCTTTTTTTTTTTTTTTTTTTTTTTCATTCGAAAATACTTGAGAAACGAGTAGAATATTTATGCACATAATTCCTTTCATAAATATATAATATATATATTTATATATATATATATATATATATATATATATATATAATTTATATCTAATGCTTTCTGTTATTTTTCTTCGATTCGAAAACATTTGCAAAACGAATAAAATCATCAGCTATAAACTTGATTCTTCGAAAGCATTAAAATGAACATTAAAATGTACAAATATACATACTTTTCTGTCAATCTTTTTTCTATTTGAAATTATTTGAAATACCATCTACTCTCTTATCCATCTATATACATCATCTGATTCTTCATAAATACGTAATATAAAATATATATATATATATTTTTTTTCTTTTTGTATTTTTTTTTTTTTTTTTTTTTTTCATTTGAAAGTACTTGAGAAACAACTAAGTACTCATCTATTTATACACTCTGATTATTCGTGAATAATACATGTATATACATATACCATTGCTTCCCGTTAAAATTGACAATGATGGACGTGTGAAAAGAAACGAAATGATAATTCGCACATATATTTCTCCGAAGCGTAAAGTAATGATCTCACCTCATTGAGGAAAGTGCACGTTTCGCTGGTATCATTAGGCTCGTCTTCGGCTTTCCATCAATTTCTTTCTTTCTTTTCTTTTCTCTTCTATCTCTCTCTCTCTCTCTCTCTCTCTCTCTCTCTCACATACTCTCTCTCTCTCTCTCTCCCTTTTCCTTATTTTCTCTCTTTATACGTTTCTACATACAAACGACATAGAATTTATTTCAATGGGTAAAGAAGGATCGACGTAAACGTCGCACGGCATACGTCCGTCGACGAGAACCATCATCGTAATGACATATTGTCGTTCAAAGGCACGTTAACACCTCGTAAAATCAGTCCGCAGCTGCATAAACGTGTACGCATGCGCGTTACGTGAGTTAAACGAGCCCCGATCCTATTTTCATATCTCTCTCTCTCTCTCTCTCTCTCTCTCTCTCTCTCTCTCCCCTCTCTATTGTGCTTTTCAACACATTGCTGTCAAACTTTTCAGAAAACTTTTAGCGTTCCTTTTAAACAAGGCTCGTTCACGAGCACGTATAAAATTTCTCGTTTTTTTGTTTATTCGTTTATTTTTATATATTTATTTTCTCGCTCTCTCTCTCTCTCTCTCTCTCTCTCTCTCTCTCTCTCTGTATTTGTTTCTTCCCTTCCGTACTTCTTCTCCGTACGTATATGTATTTTAATATTTTTTCTTTTCCATTTCTTTTCTTTTTGTTTTTTTCTTTTTTCTTTTTCCTTTTTTTTTTTTCGACTACTCTCTTCACTTCACGTGTTTTTCCATATAAAAAGGGGACGCGTTTAAAAGAAAAAGGGAACACGGCATGCAGTTTTAAGTTTTTTTTTTGTTTTTTTCTTTCTTTTTTTTTTTTTTTTTTTTTTTTTTTCTTTTTTCATTTTAATACAAACAACCCGTAACTGGGTAAATCGTTTGTTGCGCTATTTCGTTAAAGCAAATCGTTCTCTAATTATATTTTATTTTCTCATTAAAATGCATTTACATAAATGCCTGTAATAATATTAACTTGCGACAGTGGAAAAGTTATACTTGAAACGTGACTTATTGTCAAGTTTAGACGGTGTTAATGATGGATTTCTTGTTCTTGTTATTCTTTATCGCGAAAGAGACGGAGGGAATAAAAGGAAAGAAGAAAAAAGAAAAGAAAAGAAAAGAAAAGAAAAGAAAAGAATAAAGAGAGGAGAAAAAACAAAAAAGTATATTTAATTAGATGGATGGTTAATGTCGATAACGGGAATCGTGTGGCTAATTTGCGAGTGTGAAAAAAAAGAAAAAAAAAAAGGAAAACAAGAAAAATACGAAAAGAGAAAGAGAAAAAAAAAGAAAGAAAGAAAGAAAGAAAGAAAGAAAAATACTTTAGCTTAAACAACAATCCCGACACTTCCTTCTCTCTTTTTTTTTTTTTGTTCATTTTCTTTTATTTATTTGTTTCTTATTTTTGTTTTCCTTTTTTTTTTTTCTTTTTCTTTTTCTTTTTCTCTTTTTTTTCTTTCTTTTTATTCTTCGACTGTCTCTCAATGCTGACACTGCACATAATATAAAAATATTTCGTACGCCCGCGAAAATGTGCAAATAGATATACATATATATATATATATATATAAAGAGAGAGAGAGAGAGAGAGAGAGAGAGAGAAAGATTAAAAAGAAATCAACGTTAATATTTGTCAGAGAGATAAAAATAAAAAAAAAATAGAGAAGAGAAAAGAAAAGGGGAAAAAGAAGAAGAAAAAAAAGAAAAACAAAGAAGAAGAAGAAGAAGAAGAAGAAGAAAAGAAATTTGTACTTTATCGATAACGAATCGATTTCGGTGAACGCTGGATTAAAATTCCTCGTAGATTTTG